AGGGAGGAAGAGGAGGGTGTGAGGGAATACGTTCTCTAGTGAGAGCCCCTTCTTTTTAAGCTCTCGACGTCCGTGACTTTGCAGCCATCCTCGAACGACATGCATAACACCCTGAGGTTAACATCAATTCACGACCATTTCTTCCATCTTCGCCATTTTCACCATCTCCATCATCATCTCTATTATCATCTCTATTATCATCTCTATTATCATCTCCATTTCCATCATTTCCATCATCATTTCCATCATCATCATCATCATCATCATCATCAGCATCATCTCCATATGCTTCATCATCACCACAATCTAATGAAATTACCTTGAGCTCGACAGGGGGTAGAAGATCTCAGGAACGACAACAAAAGGGTCATGCCTGTCATGCAGGATGACGTAGAGTAGACATCAACTGGTCGACTCACTTGAACAGAGATCGACATCGTTCAGCATTCTTTGCTTCCTGTTGAAAGTCCAGCTCGATCGGCAAGTTGGGTGCAATCTGGAGGGAGCGTGAGAACCAAGACCACAAGCAACGATGAAGTTGAGACGAACACAATCATCAAGACTGATCTCTCTGCATTTGGAGATCCGCATGAAACAACACAGGCAAACAGGCCAGTTGTGACTATTACAACTCAACAACCAACTCAACAACCAACTCGCTCCTCACCTCATCCGCGAGCCACCACAGCGGCATGGCAGGGAAGAGCTTCGAGACGACTTGAACGACTGCTCTTACAGCATCTACATCCCCTACTGCTGTCTCCCGCAGCCCATAGTGCTGGACCTTGACCGCTACCTTCCTCCCCGTCCTCTCTCCCTCACTGGGATGGAGATGTGCGACGTGTACTTGAGCAAGGGAGGCCGAGGCGATCGCTTCCTTGTCAAAGGAGGCAAACAAAACACTGACAGGCTTCCCTAAGTCTTCTTCGATCGTCTTCGAAACATTCTCAAATGAAGACCTGAAAGACCATGTCAGTATCGAGTGAAGATGGCGTGGGAAGGAGGAGGTGGGACAGCGGGGTAGAAGCGAGGAGAGCAGGAAGGAGCAAGAGAAGTGGAGGAAGAAGAATGGATAAAGCCAGGAAGCGAGGAGAGCAGGAAGGAGCAGGAGAAGGGGAGGAGCAAGAATGGATGAAGCCAGGAGGAGCGCCGGGAGGGAGAGGTGACGAGGCGGGGGAGAAGGCGCGATAGAAACAACAGCAGGGGATACGCATACGATGGGGAGCTAGGGAGGTCGAGGGTCAAGAGGAGGGAAGGGACCTTGGAGCATCGTCGAGGCAAGCTCGGAGAGTGGTGGTGTACTCATCAGGAAGGAGGTAGTCCATCTGGGAGAGGTGCTGGGCAATCTTGATATATGCTCCCTTGTTTGCCCTGGCAAGGGACAGCAGTCTCTCCGCGCTTCTTTGGTGTGCCCTGCGCATGTCCTCTGTTGTTTCCGACATCTCCGCAAGCTTCCTCTCCTTCACAAGATTCTCTGCTCGATCTGCCGCCCTCTGCATCGTCTCCTGAGCCTCCTTCTCTGCCGCCGCGACCGCTTCCCTCGACGACTTGCCGTCGGCAAGAAGGCTAGCAAGCCTCTGCTCAGCTTGCTTCGCTATCCGATCAGCTTCCTCAAGCTCTCGGGCGGCACTGTCGATCTTGATCCTCGTCTCATCTCGTCGGATCAGATTCCTCATCATCGTATCCTTCATCCTCACGAGTTTGTAATCCACAACTATGACCGCCGACGTCTTCACCAGCCGGAATATTCGGAACCCCGCCTCCAGGAACGCGACGCAGCGATCTCTCTCCTGCTTCTTCCACAGCAGCAAGCTCCCTCCTGCCGCTCCTCCCACGCATGCCGCCGCCAGCATCACCCTCCTCCTCGCTGCGCAGCCCCGACCACCCGCCCTGCCGCCACCATGGCGCCAAGCAGTTCCTCCGTCAACTTTGCAAGTCCGCCTCGATTCTCACCATGGAAAAATTGAAGGACAGCAAGTATGATATAGTAGGACTGTGACTCCGGGTGACCACGGGCCCGGGTACTTTCACTGCGCGGGCCGGCGGTGACTTCGGCCCGGCCGCGCCTTCGGTCTCAGTAGCCTAGTGTGACCGTCAGTGCTAGTCCCGTCCTTTACTCAAAGTTAAGTCCCGTCAGTGCTAGTCCGACTGTCAGTAACATCCGAGTCTAGTAACCGGCGTCGGAGGCAGTGTTGACCAGGTACGCCGACACCGACAAGCCTCCCGGGGCGGCGTCACTGTACCGCACGGTAGGAAGGCCGGGCGGCCCCGGGCCTCCGGACACGGTCAATGTGGACAAGTCCGATCCGACTGATCATCAGAGTACGGCCCGGGCGTCAACCCGGCCCCGGGCGGCCGCCGGGCCGGCCGCGTCCGCCGATGATACGCCGTCGCCGCGCCGGTGCCAGGACCGTCGGGCCGGAGGTCTGGCCGGCCTGCGGCGCCGGTCAGGCTCGAGTCACTGAGACCCTCGAACCAGGGCAAAGTTTTTTTAGGGGCCATATTGTTGCAGTCGTACGGTGGGTGGTAAATACACCGGTAGTACAATCAAAGGAGGTTAAAAGTACCGGTACCTGACATATACAGCACAGCTACAAAGTAGGGGTGATCAAATTCTTGTACCACCACCGGTGGGTCCTCTAGTCCCTTAGGGCGGGGGCGAATATTCTTCACGAGGAGTAGCAGAAAGGAAGCGCTCTTCCTCTACATGTCAGCGCCATGCTCGGTGCTGGCGCTCTCTCCATGCGCGTCCTCGCATCCTCTCATCGTGCTCTCCTTGATATCTCCTCTCCTCCCTTCGTGATGCAAGCATATATGGCTTCATATCAGACCTTGCTCGTTTTGGGGCACAAATAGAAGGAGTTGTGCGACATGCACTTTTCCATTCGCTATCTACTTCTTTTTTTGTATGAGCATTGCCGTTTTGTCATGAAAAATTACAGGAAGTCTGCAGTGTTGTAGCACAAGTTATGTTGAAACGAATGTGGGATTTCTCACCATTCTAACGTTGAAATTTTATCATACTTCAATCTGTCTCTTCCCCAAGCGATCAATTAGATATGTTTGTTTCTAGGATGCATAGGTTTTGCTTGTCTGTTTGAAGTTTGCATTGTGATCAGGTTCAAAAAAAATTGAAAATGGCTAGCATTCAGTTGAATGTTCGAGGCAGTTCGTTGCTTCCTCAACTTTTCTTGAAGCATTGAATGTTAGGACAAAGTGGACAAGTGGGTAGAGCTGTTTTGACGCGTGTAGCGATCATGTAGAAGATCTGTTTGCAGAATAGAAGATTAGGATAGAATTTACATTTTCTCAGGTATAAGAAGATGAATGGACATTGCAACATGTACACTAGCACGCTGTTTGGGATGCACAAAGACGATTTTTCTGTGATGTGTTGTTTGTTGGACTTGTGAGGCAGGAAAGGAGGTCTGATCAGAATAAGATTAGGAGAGTGTGAAGGAGAGAAGCGAGATAACACAAAAGGAAGAAAGCAGAAGTGGATCTGTGAGCAAGTCAGAAGTGAAGACTTTGGATGAACTGATGGGTGCCGGGCAGCAACCATAGACGCTGACGCTTTTCATGTGAGGAGGATTGATGGGGAGAGGAGGGAGGGAGGGAGGGAGGGAGGTAGGAGCCTTGAATCTTGCTGCATGGTTTGTTGTAATGAATGCTCTCAAAGAATTTCTGCTGAACTCCAACGCGACCTTCGATGTTGCTAGGTTACATGTGCTGCGCATGGCACCAAACGGCACATGGGCCGACGGGGGAGGGAGGGAGGGAGGAAGGGGAGCGGAGCGGAGCGGAGGGGAGAGGAGAGGAGAGGAAAGACGCTGGCGAGCATGCAGCATGGAGGAGAGGTAATCTTGCCCTTTGTGATGGCGCGTTTTGAGTGCGCAGCAGTGTCATCTATGAAAGCGAGAGCGCGCGAGGGATGGGTTGGGGGCAGCAGTTGGGCGGTAGAGGAGGAGACGGTAGGAATGGGGTACAGAGGAAGCGGCAGAACGAGAACGAGGAGGAGGATGAGAAGGGCAGAGATCATGATGAAGACGACAACAACGATGAGAAGGAGGACTCTGCTGCACATCCGCCGGACATGACTGCATGCTCTGTTTGGCGACGGACGAGGGATGGTAAGGAAGCACTTCATCATTTGTTTTGGAGGAGCTAGGAGAGAAGAAGCATGGCG